GTTTTGTCATAATTACCAGAAAAAAATAATGCTTAACACATTTGACACAAATAAAGTTATTTATTTATTTTTTATTTATCTATTTATATTTTATTTATTTTTTAAACAGAGAGGCTCTTTGAAGATAGCAAAAAAACATCAGGCCATGTAAAGGATGAGGACATTTCAAGTATACTTACACGCCGTTTTGTATCATTGCAATGTCGCACTCCCTGTGGACCTTGTGTGAGCATGGCAGGATCTGGCAACCGCTGAAAGCATCCTGGAGATATGATTAAAAAAAAAAAACACTTCACTTATTATTCCGGTGGCGTCGACATTTCAACATCTTAAGTAGTTGTTACTTTTAAAACTCGCTGTTTCATTTGAGGCCAATCATAAGTGCTTACTATCCAGTGGGTACTGATTTATCCCGTGGATAGCGTTATCCATACTTCAGTGACCAATCAGGGTATGGTCTATAACGCCATCTAGAGCCTTTTTGAAACCTGTCCTGCTAATGCTGGCTTCCGTTCACGTAAAAGTCAGGAACGCTTCAAAAGACACAAGTCTAACATTTCTTATTTCTTTTTTCTGAGTCATTGTTCCACTGAAAGATGAATTTCCCCTATAAATCTAGAGAAATCAATAATTTTTTTCACGTTATTCTTCAAAAATCATACCCCATCTGAATACGAATACATTATTTCGGACCAGTTAAAAAAAATTGCCATTTTAATACAGTAGAAACCCGCGTATAAGAACCTAAAATTTAAGAACCTGTTAGGCAAAATCCTTAGATTAGAAAAGATGCTCCACAACAAACTGACGTGTTACATACTTTTATTCTTCTCACATCACAGCTGTCACGACAACATTCAAGACAAAGCTATGGAGAACTAATTCATTTAATTTCTTTAATTTCACAGCTCCAGTAGTATTTATCACACAATTATTTAATGGGGCCGGGGTTAACTTGAAAATTAAAAAGCACTAAAAAAAAGTGTATATAGTTAACTCAATCTATTTGTGATTGTTTCCTCGATCGTGTTAATTGGCTGAAACCAACAACGCTTTACGAGAACTAGTTAAATTAGACCCGACGAAAGAGACACCCATATTTAAACAGTACCACTTTGAAAATGAAAGTTAACTTAAGAGGATGCTATCTTAGATTTTTCTTGTTCCACCACAATGACTCCAAATTCTTCTGTTGTACTAAATTCATCTTGCTCGGGATCGTGAGCTTCCTTCGACATGCCTTTCAGGGTAGAAAACATCTCAAATGTATCCTGCGTGCAGCTTCCGTCTTTATCTTTCTTCTAAGGTCAATTGAAGGTTCTCCTCGTCTCCTATGTTTCCCCCCTCACCTGGGTTTGGGGCTTCGATTTCAGGGGCGTCCTACCGCCGCTACTTTCGGAAGCGCTATCGCCTCCCAATGCTGCATTCTTCAGCAGGTGAATGGTTAAGTACAGCTCCTTGGCAAACACAGCCAGACCTTGAAGATGCTTTGCAGCACTGGGCAGATTTTCCTCTCCGACGCCCCTCATCAGCTCGTACAACAAGATCTGCGGGTTCACTTTTTCTAAGTTTAGAACTATAATTTACATGTAGTAGCAGAAAGCCTTCTGGAATTCAGTTTGAGCCCGCTGGAGGTAAACTCGTGTTTGTACATCATACAGTCGATTTTCAGGAGGCTGTTGTTGGCATAGAAGACGTGAAAATCAACCTTCTCTGTCTCACCCGCTGAGGTGTTTCCCAGGAACTCGTTCAGGGCGACCTTGATGAGGCTGGTTATCCCTTACAGAAAGTTTCCAGTCATGGGATCAACAATGGCGCCAGCAATCGCTGGATCTGGCTCTTCCTTCACTTTGATTTTGTACTTCTGCGACTTGTCCACGACTGTCACAATCGGAACTCTTGTCTTTAATGGATGCTTTCTGTATCTGGACCGATGTTGCTGCAATCTTGTCCACCATCATTTTGTGAACCGTTTTCAGTTTTTCCATTGTCTCGGCATCGTTTTGATCGATCTTATTGTGCCTTAATCGTATCTACGATGTTGCCCATTCTTGGTTAGTAAACACAGGCCACCCTACAGGTTTGGCTAGTAGAAGGCTTTTAGAAGATTAGCCCGGGAGTGCTGTTTTCGTAATTTTTGAAAGTAAATTTCCATGTAAAGCAAAGCAGTTGCAGGGCAGTTTTTTTTAACGTGGGATATTCCTTTCACATACAACTACTATTCTTCCAGAGCAAACACATTTTTAATAACGGGCCTACCGAAGTGGATTGCAAGCGAAAAAATATAGAAATCCATCGAAAGAATGGTGGCGTTTTATATTGACGTCAAGCTGTTTTCATCACAAGATCTTCTGCCTCCTTTGGGTACAGTAGGTAAGTTATTCAACATTAATTAAAACCGCACCAATCTCGATTTCCATGGAAATAATGTACGGCATGCACCTTTTGCAGATCAGTTAAGAGTTGTTAAGAGTAAGCGCACAAACGTACTCCATTCTTTAGAACACAATCAAGCAACTCTGGCGGTGGTTCAACTCCAGTTGAGCCGACTCCGTCGTCAAAATAAAGACAATTCAAAATCACACGTAGAACACGAGATTTGATTTAATATGAGGTTAAGGGAATGACAAACTGTGTTTGTTTGGAAACCTATTTATGGAAACTATTCATTATATTCGCGTCCGAATTATCTTGTCTAATGGTTATTAGGAACGTAGCCGATAGGGAAGAGGGTGACCCAATAAAAGAGTGTTTTTCCAAACCTAGCCTACCTATTGTTTGACTTAATTCCATCGATATTTCAAGCGGTAATATGGGTAGTAGTTGGATGGCAGTTTCCCCTTTGAATCGCTTAGAGTAACCTTCAGAAACAAAACTGTCTAGCTACTAAAATAATTTCTTCTAATGTGGAGCTCTTTATGGGAAAATTTTGGTCGAGGGTGAGCAATTGAATATGATGTAAATACAATGTTTGTAACATCATCCCAAATAAAACAACGATTTAAGTAAAATAAATATATCAGATTTTACCTGCAGAAAAAGGCGCAGGCATTAATTATTGATCGGATTTCAGCCATGTCAATTTTCAGTGTATATTTAAGGGAGTGGTAGTATAACTAATTGTTTCGTATTATGCTTCATCCTGCTCGCTTTTCAAGCACGCTAATATTAAGTTCTGTAGCGTTCAGTTCCGAACGCGTCAACGCTATAGATAATCTTTGACCGTTGACTTGTTTTGTTTTCTTCCCCACGCGTTACTTACACATTCCGCGCGCGTTTCTGCGTGCCC